CGCGGGCGTCCGCGGAGCCGCCGGTCTGCGGGGCGGTGAGTAGCGGACAGGGTCGGGGTCGGCATTGGCGGGCTTGGGGGGGCCGGGACCCGAGGCCGGGGGTGCAGGCCGGGTTGGTGCGAGTCCGGGGCTCAGGCTCCTCCGTCCACCTCGGCTCCGCTCCCCTCCGTATGAAGCTGGCCCTTGCTTGGCCTGCTCGGTTCTCCCGAGGCTTGAGGCCCTGCACCCGGAGCCGGGGCTTATTATGGTCTGGACACGGCTCGGGGGGAGCTGCTAGCGTCCTTTAGGGGGGGAGGAAAAAAAAAGATTCAATTTTGAACAACTTAGAAATGTGTGTGTCTGTTTGTGCACGTGAGTGCAAGTACCGAGAGAAGCCAGAAGAGGGCGTTGTGTCCCTAGAACTAGAGTTAACACGGGCCATTGTTAGCCGCTTGATGATGTGGGTGTTGAGAACCTAACTCGGGTCCTCTGGAATTGCAGGTGTTCTTAACCCTCGGAGCCATCTCTCCGACCTCCGTGAGTGTGAGTGTGTGTGCGTGAGTGTGTGTGCGTGCGTGTGTGTTTTCTGGGTCCAGTTTTAGTTTTTTGGCTTTGGGTGGTGGTGGTGGTTCTCCGGGTGGAGAGAAGGTGGGAGCGGGCCACCCAGCTACACGAGCCCAAAACGGAGTAGTGAGCAGTGGAATTCTGGGTGTTGATAATCTTAGGTTTATATTCGAGACAGGGTCTCATGCTGCCCCGGGCTGGCTTGGAATTCCCTATGAAGAAGGCAAGGCTTACGTACCTTCAACTATCGATCTTCCTGTCTCAGATTCACCAGTTGTGAGGTACACGTGTGTGCCACCCTGCCAGGCTTGATAGTGTATGTAATAACGGTATTGTTTTTGGTTTTAATCTTCTGGGTCCTGGAAATGGGGGTCTCATGCAACCCTGGATAGCTCAAACTCACTATGCAGGCTGACTTTGGACTCCTGATTCTCTGTCTCAGACTCTCGAGTGCTGGGATGGCAGGTGTATACCACCAAGCTGGTTAAGCCTGGTTAAAAAAAAAAAAAAAAAGTTTTTTGAGACAGTCTTGGTGTGTAGTCCAGGCTAGCCTCTCAGTTTAGCTGGAAGTTGTGACTCTCCTGCCTCAGCCTCGTAAGTGTTGGGGTGATAGGTGTGTGCCATCAGGCCTTGTTCAAAAACAGAGTAGTGGTAGCCTGTGTGGCAAGGCTAGTTGGGGTCAATCTGTCCTCATAGTTTAATACGGGAAATCAAGGGGTGATTTCCACATACTGTAAGGCATGCAGCTCCAATTCTCTGGATCCACGTGTGGGTTTAACATTCGGGAAATTAAGCTGAGGCCACGTCACAGCCCTGGAGCTTGTGCTTTCCCAGGCTGTCACTGGCTTCAGTCTTTGCTTTTGTCTCAGCATGTTCAGGAGTGCATCCTCTTCTGCTTCATGCCTCCTTTTGACCCTTCTTCCCTCTCGTGTTTAGTACTCTTCCTCTATGCGTGCATCCGAGAAAACATGGTCCTGATGGGGGAGGCAGGAGAGCACAGTGTAGGGATGGTGCACCTGCAGGATGTTTTCTGTCAGTATGGAAAGTCTGTGGAATTCCAACTATGGGCCAGGCCTGTGCCACAGGCCTGTAATCTTAGACACTGGGGTCTTGGGATCCTAACCAGGTCCCCTGGAAGAGCAGCTGAGCCTTATCTTCAGCACCACAGAACTTGTTCTTAATTGTGTGTTTATTTTATTTTATTGATTGATTGATTGGTTTTTTTGAGACAGCATTTCTTTGTGTAACCTGGCTGTCTTAGAACTAGCTCTGTCGAATAGACTGGCCTCAATCAAACTCACAGAGATCACCTGCCTCTGCCTCTCAAGTGCTGGG